GGAAGAGCGCGTGAACAGTTGAGAAAACAGAGACTTGTAGCTATTGGGGTCAATATAAAAGGTTGTGGTTTGGTAGCCAACTTCACTCAGGGACTGAGATTTAGACTGAGGCTCTCAAATTGCAAATCGAACCTCTCATCCTCCTCCTACTCCTGGGATTTCTGGTGCTTCTTACTTTGTGAAGAAAAATAAAGTTAAAATCTGGATCCAATGGAGAACATGATGGGTCTTCTGAGAATTCACATCCAAAGAGGAGTGAAACTTGCTGTTAGAGACATGAGAAGCAGTGACCCTTATGTTGTTATCAAAATGGGCAAGCAGGTAATGGCTGTCTTTAATCATGAAAATGGTCTACTTTTCAGATAATTTTTATTTTGCTGTTGTATTTCTGGATCCATTTGCATTTCTGGGTTTCTTGGTTTTGTTGTTATTTTCTACAAATTTAGGTGATTGATAGCAATACATGGATCTGGTAGGATCACTTGGTGTTTCATTGTACATATACATATTTTCTGTTTAAATTGTACTAATGTTTGTTTGGGTTTAAGTCATGTCTTCTGGAAACCTCTTAAACACCTTTTTTTTTTTTTTGGCCTTATTAGTTGTTGCTTTTTTCATAGTATTAAAAACTCCAACCACACAAGAGGGTATCTGAAAAAAGAAAAAGAAAAGAGAAAGGAATCTATTTCTTTTTGTTTTCTTTCATGGTAAAGATTAAAGAACAGTAAATGAAGGTATTTAAATCTACCTTGTGAATGGTTTTCTTATTTTCTGTCTGTTGCTGTAAACATTTGTTTTGATTTCCAGAATATTGATATCACTAAGGGTTCTGGTTTGTAATTTTATTTGAAGTCATCAAGAAATTATTATTTTTTGATCTGGTGGTAATGTTTCCCGTCTTCACCAAAACAAAATCTGGTAGTACTGTTGCTTCTGTGGAGGACATTTGCTTTCTCGGTTAACAGTGCTATCCCTGTGACATGCAAGTCCCTCTCGTGTCCCGCGGGAATGAAAAAGACATGGGTTCAGGCACATTAATTATTGACCAGGAAATCAATGAACACCCAACTTTGCTGTGTGGTGGTTCTTCACCAAACAACTTTCTGAATTATGTCTTGTTATGGTTAAGAGCTTTGAGAAATTGACGTGATTCTAAATATCTATCGTTTCAACTGATAGCTTGTTGAATTTATGTTCAAAAGCAGAAGGTGAAAACCAAGGTGGTGAAGAAGAATGTGAATCCTGAGTGGAATGAAGATTTGACACTCTCAGTTGCAGACCCAAATCTCCCAATCAGGCTTTATGTGTATGACAGAGACACCTTTAGTTTTGATGATAAGATGGGGGATGCAGAGTTTGAGATTGCGACATTTATTAAGGTCTTGAAGATGCGCTTGGAAGGCCTCCCAGATGGGACAATAATCACAAAAGTGCAACCAAATAGGCAAAACTGCCTTGCTGAAGAGAGCTACATTGTCTGGTCCAAAGGCCAACTTGTCCAAAACATGGTCCTCAGACTGAGAAATGTGGAGTGTGGGGAAGTTGAACTTCAATTGCAGTGGATTGATATTCCTACCTCTTAAGGGTCTCTAGATTTGCATTGCATCCACACGGTCTATGTGTATAGTTTTGAGTCTTTGGTTCATGAATGTCAGAATAGTGATGTTTTAGAAGGGTATCCACCTATGTAGTATGTATTGCTAACATATGGGATGTGAGAAAACAAATTAGAATAACTTGATTTTCATTATGTAGTACATTACTGTTTATTTGATTCTCATTTTGGTTTCAAATAAGTTTTTTAATCCTCATTTTAGGCCTGTAAAACTGGCCCAAGCTCGATGGGCTAGTCCAAATCCAATCCTGTTTTTTGAGCTATGGGGGAGAGAAAGAAGTTAAAATACCTAGCTAAAAGAGCAAGAAGACAATATGTTAAGGGTTTCTAAGAGCCTTTCCACCCGTTCAGCCCAGCCCGAGGCTAGGGGGAAAAAAAAAAATGGCTTTCCAGCGGAGCAGCCCAGGCCGGGGGGGGGGGGGGGGGGGACCCCCCTCCCCGGGCCGCCCCGAAGGGAGGTCTTC